TATAATATTTACAAGGTATGCTAACTTATATGCTTGCTCTGATCTGTCCAGGAGCTAGTTTTTTCTGTCTTTCCCAAACGAAATAACTCGACGGTTTCCGGTGAAACAAATCTATTGATCTTGATGTTTGGGTTTCAATATCTGCTAAGGGCTTTTCGAATCGGCTCTTTGTTAAAAGTAGCTCTAAGGGGTTCTAGCATCTTCGCCGAATCTGCATGGCCTGATCTCTTTCTTTTTATGCTTGCTGGTCATGTAAGTTCCATAACCATTTCTAACCGGGTGATGCTAGAGAGACCATTTTGATGTATAGAAGGAATTCAATCATTAACCGCCACATCATGTGTTTTACAAAATATGGTCTAAAAAGATTGTCTCCCTATCATTTTCCTTTCTAATCAGTTCTTCAACATTCTGAAACGCTTTTGTTCTTCTATATTCCAATTTGCTGGTTCTGTACGTAGGTTACTGGAGCCTTTTGGTATTTTTTCTCACTAGGAAGAATAGCAACGTGCTGGCGAGAAGCCTGTGCGCACTGTTATTTATATTGCGATGACACATTTGGAGCTATAACATTGGCAGACGACTCTTGCTCTAAAAACACAGCGAATTTTGGAATATACACTGATGCCCTTGACTCTATAGTTCTGGATTCAACTCCTTTTGTAAAAAGGATTTCTTACTGCTTCTGGTGGGGGATACAAAATCTAAGGTTTTGCTTATCCAAATTATCCTACTTTTAAGCGAATCTCTTTTATACCGCTTCTGGATTCAACAATTTTTGAGAATCTCCTCTTATATGTTTAGTTGTATCGTGTTATGCAGTTCCCTCGGCCAAAGCCTCAAGCCCTCTACAATCCACGTATGGGAGATATACTTTTCACTTGTTGTTTCGATATCTGGCTTGGTGCTAATTGCAATTCTTGCTGGAAATCTGCAGGTTGGTGCTAAACCATTCCCTCCTAGCTCTTTATCTAATTATCAAATGACTGTTTGCGCATTGGTTTATCAGATATTCTAATTTACTTATATAAACGTGAGGAGCAGCCTTTTGTTATCACTTGTCACACAGAAATATTTGCTGTCAAAAGTTGCAAGATCGGAGGAACTGAGATTGAAGGAACAAGAAATAGAATTGTGGATGTATTACCATTCACTTCCCCGGAGTCTTAAGGCGCGGATTTGGCAATCCATGAAACACAAACTGAAAAAAAACATACGCGTTGAGAATTTTCTTCACCTTCTTCCCGTTGAACTTTGTAAGGATATAAAATGGCATCTCTGCTCAGGTCCACTCAGAGAAGTGCCAATACTTCGAACCATGGACGAGCAACTGTTGTTCGCCATCTGCAAATATCTCACGCCGGTGCAGTACGCGAAGAACAGCATCATTTTTTACGAGGGAGAGCCACTTGCTGAGATGCTCTTCGTCACCCGCGGTAAGCTATTGACTTACACCGCCTCTGCTACTGCTAGGGTAAGATTTCTTGGCAAAGGTGACTTCTATGGAGAAGAGCTTTTCGATTGGGTGCTGATCAACTGTGCCAGCTTATCTAACTTCCCCTTGTCAACTGAAACTATCAAGGCGCAAACGGAAGTTGAAGTGTTTGTTCTAAGGGCGCAGCAGTTGAAGACGGTAGTCTCTAAATTCTGGTGGCTTTTCACCAAAGAGCAACGCCGCCACTCGAGCCTTAATACTAGCTTTAACGTGGAGCAATGGAAACCAAGGGCAGCTTATGCTTTGCAAGCAGCTTGGCGTCGCCATAAAAAGGAAACCTCCACGATGCGAAAAGTGAATTTGTGACCGCGTGCTTCCCGGGAATATGGCTGCTTTTTATCTTGTGAATTTGTGAATTTTTTTTTTATTTTTATTTTTTTGTGAAGCTACTGACAGCAAAAATCACTATTCAAAAGCCTGCCTGCTTTATACATAAGATTTGATGCATTATTTTGGGCTGTTTTTGAAATTTTTTATTTGAGGGACATTTATGTCCATTTATATTTTTTATGAAGTTTGTGACACCAAAAATCACTATTCTGCCGGCTTTATACGGTATATTATAACTTATATAACAAAGGGAGCAATAAGAAAAGCATAGAAAGGAAAGCGTCGAATTCGAAACCAAGTTACCCACCAGCAGTTGCAAACCAAACGACAAGCAGTTGTAGACGGTGGTGAACGGATGAAGGTCTTCAACTAGAGTCTGATTTCTGAAGTTCGAGTGAAGAAATAAAAAGGTAGATCCCAAATTTTATACACGGAATCGTTTCAAATTTTAGGTCAATATCACGGTTATATCTCAATTATCCCTACTTTCTCCGGATGAAGTGCAACTACGTACCCGAAAAGTCAGATACTCTTATCCCAACAGTCTGCTACAAGTATCCCAGCAGTTAACTACGTATCCATCGCGTATCGTATCCCACGTGTCAGATACGGGGTGTGGGGGTAATCCTCCGTGTTTGTGCATCGTAGACATCCGCTGTAGCTAAAGTCGCTAAGTCCACGTCGGCGTATGAACCTTTTTTATGTTTGGTTCACATAATGCTTGTATAATATCTGCGGTCCCTTGCAACGACAGCGATGTTTGTGTTATGAGATACATATAATAATGCTCATATATTTTCTTAGCAAGGCAAGAGATGTATTCAATTGAAAATTTGAAAGATTTTAATGGATTTATAAATTCATGGATTTTTGTGGAGTTTAGTTGATTTGTAGAGATTTCATATAAAATTTTGATTCAATTATCTCGAAATCTCATGGGAAGAGGTGAGATTTGTGGATGTTTAAAATACACTACGAAATCTCTCCAAGTCCCTCTAATTCCTCAACTTTCTCAAATTCTTTAAAATCAATTTCTAATTGAATACACCTGGAATGTTATAAACTTTTTAAAAATTCTAATTGAATACACACGGATTTTTAAGGATTTTAATAAACTATCTTAAAATTCTAATTGAATACACCTTGAATTTCAGATAATCACTTCATTAAAAAAATTAAAATCTCTCAAAATCTCAATTGAATACATCCCTTGGAAAGGAAGATAAAACGCCTGGCTGTGAGGATCCACTATTCCTTCTGCTGCAACATCTTGTATGTAACAACCCGTTTCGGAATTTACGTAAGAAAATGAGTATTTTTGTATTTTTTCACTAAGTTTGGGGGATACTTTCCATTTTAAAATTGTTTTTGAGCCTTAATTGGTGAGCCCAAGGGGCCCACCCCCTGTTTTGTTCCCGGTTCCCGGTTCCCTTTCCCTTTTCCTTTTTTCTGAAAAGTCTCTTCTCTCTAGTCTCTCTTTCTTCCTCTGTGATTTCTCCATCCCCCCTCTCGGTCCGACAAGAACACACACACACACACCCATGCCCACACCTATAGCTCTTTTCGAACCCCATGGTTGTGTTTTGGACGTTAAATCACGAAGAAACCACCTCGGAGACATTTCTCAGTTTTCCGGCGAGCACCGCCCCTTTCGAGGCAATTTCCGGCCAAACCACGGTGAGTTGGCCGGCGTGCAAGGTATCAATCTCTTCATCTCGCTGAGTACTACAACTTTCCATTTTGTTTCACCCAATTTCATTGAGTATTGAAGAAGTTATGCTCATTTGAATCTTACCCAGTTTCCGGCGGACACCCGTGGCTTCAAGGCTGTTTTCCGGCCAACTCCGACCACGATGACGGGAACCAAGGGTATATTTCGATTCCTTACCTTTGGGGCTTCATTTTGGTATATTGAATGACATGTTTTGGTTGAGTTTTGAGCTCCAACGGAGCTTGGGAATTCTCCGGCCGAAAACCGGCATTCTCCCTCCTTGGAATTCGGCGACCACCAAACCCAAAGGCCTTAGGGCCCTGGTTGCAAGCCCAAACCCATTACCCTTTTAATTGGGCCATTGGGCCGTGAGGTTTCAAACCCAAACCCACTTTCCCTCTAACCCAAACCCAACCCACCTAAAACCTAAACCCAATTACCCTAACCCAATACCCTAAAGACCAAACCCGTGACCCTGATCTGTTGACCCGGACCCGGACCCGTTGACCGTTGACCCGGTCAACGGTTATCGTTGACTTTGACTGGTCAACGTTGACTTTGACCTCGGGGTTGACTTTTTGGGTTTTCGTGCGGGACCTCTCATAAGCTAATTTCGACGTTCTGAACCCGTTTCTGATGTCCGTTTCCCAAATTCAATCGTTTGAATAGAGTTTGACTAAATGTACCGTTTATGTGCTTAGGGGCGATTATTTGTGGCGTTTCCTTCTTCGCTAGATGGCGTAGCTTTTTGACAGCGAAGTACTGTGAGTGGACCCCTTCTAAAAATGCATATTTTGATAGTATAAATGCATACATGAAAAGCATGATTTGATGATTATGTTTTATGAAACGTTTTACGAGATAACATGCTTACTGAGGCTAGTTTGAATTATTACTATTTTTCCTATAACCCATGTTCCTGTAGAATATCTGATGGATGACGATATGATATTTAGAACATGTTTAGAACACCTCTTTATAGTATAGATGATGGATGACTTTATACTATCAAGTTGATTTTCAAATATATGTATGTTCACTAGTTTTGTACTTACCTAGTGGTCCTTTCCGCTACGGGACGTAGGGATAGATTCGGTCCGTCCCGGGCGACGGTTTGGTGTTGGCATAGGGCCTGGAGTGTGTTTTCCTCTAACTGTCTGCTCAGAGACGGGGAGCCGGCATGGGGCCTGAAGTGTATTTTCCTCTGACTGTGTGCTCAGAGACGGGGAGCCGGCATGGAGCCTGGAGAGTTGTATAGGACATTCACTAGTGTTTATAATATTTACATGTTATGATTTGAGATATTGCACGACATGCTAGGTTTCGGAAAACCTATGTTTATCATTATATTTGTGTTTTCATAAAACCTGGGGGTTAGTACGTTGATAACTGTTTTGTTATATATATATATATATATATCAACTTGGCCCACTCATGTTTGTTTTGCGCCCCCTTCAGGACTTAGAATCGAGGCATACAATCCCGACGTCCAGGCACTTCTGCATCGGCATCTTCGAGTCCTCTCGATGTAGGACTCACTCCTTTGTTTCATTCAATTTTATATTATTTTCTTTTAGTGTTCTAGTTTAGTGGTGTGCTTTGAACACGGTTCTTATTTGCATATTCATTATTCTTTTATATTTATAAGCCTTATATATCCTTTGTTTTCAGCATTTGCACTCAATAAATGGCTTTCGTCACCCTCGGGTGTCGGCCAGCATGTGCCTATCCTGGTATTCGGGGAATATCGGGGTTGGGGCGTGTCATTGTAAGCCTGCTTTATAACCCTTCCCTTCTACTCACTTCTCTGCTGCAACTTTTCTCGTTTACATCTTCGTACTTCCACTCGTCTTGTCGCTCACTTTATACTCATTAGTCCTTCCGTGCGGTGTCTGACAACTGCTTACTTAGCGAAACCTGAATGAACGCCATTTTGGGCTTTGCTCTAACCAAAGCTATTGCATCGTTTGCCCCAATGATGGCCTTTTTGATCTCTTATCCACCGAAGCAATCCACAACTTGAACAGTCCATGATAATTATTTTACCTTTTAAACTCAAGCTCAGATGACACTTCTCTCGTTGTTTGGCAAAACGAAAACTCATGAACCAGGATAATAAGCTGTAATTTTAATCAAAACAGCATAATTTTCCCTGTATAGATGGGATATGGCAAATGCTGGTTGCAATTTCTAATCACAATCCACAACATCAAATACAATACCCGCTATCAGATGTCAATGCTATTTGACGGATCAATGACATAAATGTACTTGTTCCAAAACCCCAAGTATGAATCCATTCTAATCGGTTATACAAAAATAAGAGCATTCCCGTGTACGTTTTACATCTTTTTCTGAAATCTGAACCGCATTCGCCTTCCAACAGAAGTATCCAATCGAGGTCAGTTATCGATTGGCAACCGAGGAGAGGCGTACAAAGAAGAAGCATATATAAGACCAAGTCATCAGAAGCAGTAGACTGGTTGACTTGTGACGAATGAAATCTCCTGGAAATTTCGTTGACAATGTGTGCGTGAATTTGATCCACGGCCTTGGTTGGCTCTGTTGACATGAAGGAACTTGTTGATTTTCGCACTTTTTAGGGTCGCCATGACTGCTACTTCCTGCTTCAATTTTTACTTCCAACATATTGCATTTCTTGGAACTCAACTGGTTTTCATGAAACCTTTCTGACACGATCTTTTTGCTTCTTTCTTCTTCCCTAGTTGTCAAGTCTTTTCCTTTCTTTATCCAGGCAAATAATCTGCCAGGTTAAGATTTGTGGCACTGGCAAATGGCAATGGAGGTTCAAATGCCGCGGTAAGCGAATGCTATCCTTTTTATGTTTGCCATTTTGGAGTTTTAGGTAAAAGTTCTAAGCCAATTTCTGTTTGTAATATGTTGTATTCAGGCTACATCACTGTGACTTGGCAAAAAATGCTGCAGAAAACTTCCCAAAGATTATTAGAGAAGCACTGAACAAGTTCCCCAAGAAAATGATTCTTGATTTATGGGAGTTCGTCCAGCAGAGGTGGAATCAGATACTTTTAGTTGTCTGTGTTATCGCTCTCTCAACCGATCCGTTGTTCTTTTACCTCCTCAGTGCTAACACTGAGCAGAAGTACCTTACGCTGGACAGAACAATGGGGACCATAACTACGCTTATGCGGTTCATCGTCGATTTCTTTTATATATTTCATATCATTTTTCAATTCCGTGCAAGCATTGTTTCTCATTCTTTTCAAGCCTCTCGACAAGGCGAATCAGTTACAGAGACTCGAGCAAGAGCCTGGAAATATTTGTTGATGTACTTACTAGTCGACATGCTTATAATTCTTCCACTTCCGCAGGTATGGAAAAGCCATATATAATATATAATTGAGCTATAATATTTACAAGGTATGCTAGCTTATAAGATTGTTCTGATCTGTCCAGGTGCTAGTGTTTGCTGTCATTCCAAAACTAAAATATTCGTCGTTTGAAGCAAGGCTATGGAACACTATGTTCGTGTTTCAATATCTGCTGAGGTTTTTTCGAATGGGCTTCTCGTTAAAAGTAGCTCGAAGGGGTTCTAGCATCCTTGCCGAATCTGCATGGACTGATCTCCTTTTTTTTTATGCATGTCGTTAAAAGAAGGAATCCAACAGCCACATCATCTGGTTTATAAAATATGGTCTAAAAAGGTGGTCTCCTGTCATTTTCCTTTCTAATCAGTCCTTCGACATTCTGAGACGCTTTTGTTCTTCTGTATACCGATTTTCTGGTTCTGTACGTAGGTTCTTGGAGCCCTTCGGTACTTTTTTTCTATACAAAGAATAGCAAGGTGCTGGCGAGAAGTCTGTGAATCTCATGGAGGTTCGCACTGTTATTTATATTGCGATGACACATTTGGAGCAAACTCATCCGTAGACGACTCCTGCTCTACAAACACAATGGATTTTGGAATATACTCTGATACCCTTGAATTTATAGTTCAGGATTCAACTCATCTTGTAGCAAAGATTTCTTACTGCTTCTGGTTGGGGATACAAAATCTAAGGTTTGTACTTATCCCAATTATCCTACTTTTGAGAGAATCTAAGGATTTCCTACTACTTCTGGATTAAGCACTTTTGAGAATCTCCTCTAATATGTTTAGTTGTATCGTGTTATTGCAGCTCCCTCGGCCAAAGCCTCAAACCCACTACCTACTTAAGGGATGTATACTTTTCAATTTATATTTCAATATCCGGCATCGTGCTACTTGCAATTCTTGCTGGAAATCTGCAGGTTGGGGGTAAACCATTCCCTCCTAATTCTTTAGTTTAATTATCGAATGACTGATCACGCATTGGTTTATCAGTTATTTAATCTAGTTTCATTTATATGTAAACCTGATGAGCCGTCTTTTATTTCCAACTTGTCAAACAGAAACATTTGCTGTCAAAAGTTGCGAGATCGGAGGAAATGAGATTGAAGAAACCAGAAATAGAATTGTGGATGTATTTCCATTCACTTCCTCGGAATCTAAAGGCACGGGTTTGGCAATCCATGAAACACAAACTGAAAGAATATATACGCATTGACATGGAGAACTTTCTTTACCTTCTTCCACTGGAACTTTGTAAGGATAGAAAATGGCATCTCTTCTCAGGTCCACTCAGAGAAGTGCCAATACTTAAAACCACGGACGAACAACTGTTGGAAGCTATCTGCAAACATCTCACGCTGGTGCTGTACGCGAAGAACAGCATCATTTTTCATGAGGGAGAGCCACTTGCTGAGATGCTCTTCGTCACACGCGGTGAGCTATTGACTTACACCGCCTCTGCTGCTGCTGCTAGGGTAAGATTTATTGGCAAAGGTGACTTCTACAGAGACGAGCTTTTCGATTGGGTGCTGATCAACTGTGCCAGCTTATCTAACTTCCCCTCGTCAACTGAAACTGTCGAGGGGCAAACGGAAGTTGAAGTGTCATTAATTCACTGTAATACATTTAGGGATGAACATTTCGGTACACTAATTTAGTAAAATACATTATAATACGGCCGTTTGAGTACACTAATTAGAGGAAGTAAAATAAATATAATGAATTAAAATGTGTATAATAGTAAATAATTTTAATTTTAATGTAATGACATTAAATAAGATATCTATTAAATACTAAAACAAAAATATAATTTATATACTATTAAGAGAACTCTCACTGTCAACTTTTTTTTCTCCTTTTTTTCTATTTTGCCCTCACTTTTGATATACACTATTGACAAAAGGAGGGCAAAATAGTAATTTTGTACCTTTTAACAAAATGACAATCATATCCCTAGTTTTCCTATTTTACCCTCTTTTTTTTATACTTATTTTTTCAATTTTACCCTCACTTTTGATACACAATATTTACATAAAGAGGACAAACAAAACAGTAATGATGTAATATTAAAAAAAAATGTACTTATTAAGAGAAATTGTTAATACATACAAAGTGTGTGCTTTCTACTAGTATAAATTTGAATTAAGTATACATTAGAGGACTAAAATCAATATCAAATCTAACACCAGGTTTTTACTGAATTTTAATTTTCTTTAAGAATTAAAGTTCAAAAACCCCTAAGTTAAATCTCAATCGTCATTTCATGAAACAAATGTGCAGGAGATAATCATGCATATTTTAATATGGTATTGTTATCGACATATTGAGCCCAATGGATTATGTGCATTCACATCACACTCATATATATGTATTCTAAAAATAAAATAAAAACGCCTACAATTAAACTTCTGTAAATAATAGCTTTGGAACCAAAGAAAATCTATTAATCTAGCAAATATTAAATTTATCGAGGTATTCTTTATTTTCTTAAATATTATACATCTTATTAGTTATTCGCTTTACAAACTAACAATTTTATATATTTTTAACGAAGTAAAATGTAGCATTTGCTTTTTTTTTTCCCCTAAAATAGATTGGTCATTTTTCAATGTATTAATTATTCTATTTTACGAAAATTTAACCAAGCGAAAACTCTATTTAAATAAACAAAAGCTATGGTAACACAACACATCATATATGCAACAATGGTTTTTAATCTCAACCATGTAAAGAAATCAAAAAATTATTAATTTATATATTATGTGAGATCTATATGAAACTTTTTATAATATATCATCTTATAAATTTAGTAAATTATTAATTTAGCACGTTATTTTTAAGTCAGTACTTATTATTAATGTCAGATACTAAATTATCGAGATTGTATTTACTTTCTTTCACTTATATAACAGCATCCTTGCATTCCCAACATTACTACTGCTTAAGGGCGGGAGCAAAGTAGAAGAACACAGGTATTACGAGTCTCAAGACCCCTCGTGGATGCTGCTGCACCATATGACTCCTTTGGATGCATGAAAGCCACCACGTGGCCACCTCTATTCACTGATGAGGTACAAAAAGCATCTCTCTTTCTCACTTCGTTTACTTTCTCTCTCTCTCCTCTCTCTCCTCTCTCTATCTACCTCCTGAATCTCACTCGCTCACTCAGTCTCTCTCTCTTACTTTCTCTCTCTAGGGTTCCATATCCTATCAGGTTTTTAGAGCGAGAAAATTGTACTTTAAACGTACCTGTGCACGCATGGAGCTGATTGGATCACACTTTTAGATTCGGATCCTCGCCGTCTGCGCCCTGTTTATTCGATCCGACCCGATCCGATCCGATCCGACTCGGTGCTCGAACTCGACGATTTCCATCCACAATTCTGTAATCAATTCAACTTTTTCTCCTTAATTTCATCGCGAAATTTGATCGAATTTAGCTCTTGATCTGCTTTTGGTTGCCTGTGGACGTGCGTCTGTGTTTTCTGTTTGTGAACTTGTCAATTAACTTCCTGTTTGGTTGCCGAGAAAGCTGAGGAGGAAAGTGATAGAAACTAGAAAATGTTGTTTTCATTTCGCATCTTCTTGTTGCTTGTTCATGAAATTAACTTTAGCTCAATCGGAGTAGGCTCGATTAATCGATTTACTCGAAATTTTGTTAGTTACATTGGCATCTTTTGGTGATTTTCGATTTCTGCTGTGCATTTTCAGAAGATCTGGTTTCCGCTGGTAGACCGGTTTATGTTTAGATGATATGCAAAAGTTACATAAGGAGTGTGGTTGTTCAAGCTGGGCATATCGTCACGTCTACAAAGGCAAGGGTGCATTTCAACGATACTGATAGATTTTGCATGCTTGCCAATTCGCGGAACCGAGCATTTAGGGCGAGTTTAGCAAGGGTGCATTTCAACAATACTGATAGATTTTGCATGCTTGCCAATTCGCGGAATCGAGCATTTAGGGCGAGTTTAAGGATGATGGTTGATACAGGTGCGACAGATGACCAGGGATCCGTTTTTGATGTGCTGCCTGACAAAGATGAGGATGGTGAATATACCAGTGGAGGGTGTAGAAGGTTTATATCGATTCTCCTTATTCGTCTTTATTTTTTGGGTAAAATTTATAGGCAAAAGTGATATCCTTATTCAGCTATAAGTTGACCCGTTCTGATATTGAATGATCTAACTGGTGCCTTTTGGACTTACCTTCATGTTCCTTTTTTTGTCTCGTTGACAGCGAAGGAGGAAAACTGAGTTGCGGTTATTCAAGTTTCAGGGGAAAAAGAGCAACTATGGAGGATTTTTATGATGTTAAAATGTCCAAAATTGATGGGCAAACGGTCTGCCTGTTTGGAATTTTCGATGGTTAGATTCTCGTTATATTCCTTTTTTGTTTTAGATAACAGAATATGTTCTGATTACTAAAAGTCTAAATTGTAGGGCTAAAAATCATTCGTTACAATGTCTATGGAATGCTGTCTACATAAGAATCCGGAGTGTCTGGACACGTGGAGTATATTTAGGTTTTTCGAACATATTTGAGACCATTTAGTGGCTGAACCCTTAGGAAACTGCAGTGGCAAACGGTTGGGCGAAACTGATAACTTTTGCTGCTTTAGATGCTACGTGTGGTAACTTTCCACGTAAAGGAAAAAATCAAAGCTTTTATCGTTTTAATTACGGAGCCAGTTGATATTACTCGCATATATCTGAGGGTTCTGCTACATAACTTTGACCTTATTCCTAAGATGTAATTGTCCTGAGATTTCAGTCAAATATAAGCATTTTGCCTATCGGCTGAAGTAGAAAGTACTTGTCCTATGTATGATGCAAGGTTTTCTAATTTTTTTGTTTTTTGTCTGTCTTTACAGGTCACGGTGGTTCTCGTGCTGCTCAATATTTGAAGGAGCATCTATTTGACAATCTCATGAAGCATCCACAATTCATGACAGACACAAAGTTAGCTATTAGTGCGTTCCTTTATACCTAAATTTGTGCAGCACATACAATGAAGTGTTAGGGTGATATGGTTGTAGCATGTCTATTGTTCTGACACAGGATCCCATACGAGTGGAATTATTTAGTTTTGTGTCCTCTTAGTTCAGATGGAAAGAGATGAAATTTTTTTATGCCTGTCATTTCATCAAGCTGTGAGGTCCTGCACTGAACACCATTCTACCCTGTGACATAGGTCTGTTTGGTTCTTCTGGGTAACTTGGGTGACCTTGCAGGTGAATCGTATCAACAGACCGATGCAGACTTTTTGGATTCTGAAAGAGATACATACCGGGATGATGGTTCTACTGCTTCAACAGCAGTCTTGGTTGGTAACCATCTATATGTTGCCAATGTTGGAGATTCACGTACAGTAATATCAAAGGCAGGAAAAGGTATAAATTGAATCATTAGTCATTGAAAAGTGGTTAAAAATATTATGATACGTAACAGAATTCATCATGAAGTATATCGGACACCTTTCCATGCTGAGAATGTTGAATGTAATCGTATAGAATGTAAGAGTTTAATATTTTGATATGCTGGGTATCTAAAATTAACTTTCGTTTTTCCCATTTTGGACAGCTATTGCTTTATCTGAGGATCATAAACCAAATCGAAGTGATGAGAGGAAGAGAATTGAAAATGCTGGGGGTGTTGTAATGTGGGCAGGTAAAGTGCTATTCAAGCATCAGGTGTTGATTTTATTCATGGGCTTGAAAATTTCTATACGGTTTCACTATTTACAACATTATGATAAATCAGCAAGTGACCTACTTCATTCTGCTATGTTCTCAGGCACTTGGAGGGTAGGAGGTGTGCTGGCTATGTCTCGGGCTTTTGGGAACCGCATGTTGAAGCAATATGTTGTTGCAGAACCTGAGATCCAGGTGATCATTGAACTTCTCGTTGCTTGATTCTGAATTAACTTATTTCTTGATTTGTTTTCTGAGGATTTAATCTGTCCATGTGGTGAACCCTTCTTTACTCTTTCTACAATCTGGTGTAGGAGCCTAGTTGTGAATAGTAAATAGTAATTTCCTAGTAAGTGTTGTATCCGAGGAGTCTTGTTTTGGTAGCATAAATGACAAAATACTTGTTTACTCGTGGATGTTACATATATTTGTATCCCCTAGATTGTAAGATTTTTCATACCCGATGTCGAAAAGAAAACCAGCACAGATTGGAAGTTAGAGCAAAGTTTTCATCAGTTTTTTTCTCTGTTTCAGGACCAAGTGGTGGATGAAGATTTTGAGTTTCTAGTGCTTGCTAGTGATGGGGTATGGGATGTGCTAACGAATGAGGTAAATTCTATCCTGGCTGTAACCTTCAATTTTGACACATACGCAGACACAAGGCCATTCACCGGTCCTTCCACTATCGGACATGGGATGGGCGAGTTCTTTTGTGTAGGCGAACGGTTGTTTTGCAATATGATTGCAATGATAAGAACCCTCGCTCCCTGCTTATCTATTTCTGCATCATGTGTCAGGTTGCTGTTGAAGTTGCCAAAACAGAAGAAGAACCCGAGGCAGCAGCTCGAAAGTTAACGGCGGTCGCCTTTTGCCGTGGCAGTGCCGACAACATAACGTGCATTGTGGTGAAGTTCCAGCATGACAAAGCAGAGCCAGGCAGTGCTCACCAAGATTGAAAATTTACATATTGCATGTGTGGTTTTGTCAACATTTTTAAGAAAACTGAATATTAAATTTGCGCATGCAAATGGATGAATGTGCTTACAGAAATTAAAGCAATTATGTTTATTCATTGGTTTTGTATCTAAATTTTTCGATTTCTTGTACGTAGAAGATGGGGTTTTCGAGCTGTTTGGTTGCCGTATTTGTCTATGTTTGTATTGTATACCTCTTCTGCATAGCTGTTAAATGTCGGATCGGGATGTTTTTAGTGGCGCACTTCATGTTTTAGGGCGCAATCCCTAAATTATTAAACATGTAGAGTCTGAAGTCGGACCTGTAAAAGTCGAACCCGAAAAAGTACGTACGAAAACGAAAGAATTGAGACTCGAAATTTACATGTACTTATCAATCGGTTACATAATATTGCTCAAAAATAGCTCTATCTCATCCCAAACAAGAGAGAGGTCCAAAATACACGAGACCGCGTTGCCATGGCGTGTAAGAAAGGTTAATCCGATTGAGAGCCTTGACCGGGGTCGACAAAGAACTCTTCCACTGCGAAAATAACACGTAAGGTAATACTTAGTTTTCTTCTCCACATCAAAGAATCATCGATGCAATCAAACTAGTAAGAAACGGAAAGAATGTTCAGATGGAAACATCGAGGGACGAAGCATTTGAGTAATGTGGTTTTCGTACCCATGTCATTTTGCTCTGGAGAACCAAGCATAATGTCTGGGTCGGAAGGCAGAAAGGGTGAACCCGAATAGTTTCCAAGTGATCCAAGATCTGTTCATGAAATAAGTGAAAGAAGAATCCATCAATAAAAGAGGAAACGGTTAACAAGCACATGATGGCTTCACACCCGAAACTTATTAAAAACTCTAGTTCGGTACACTGCACTGTTTCCCGTGTCCATGTTCTTCAACATAAGATTGTGCATCAAGGAATACTGTTCTTACCTGGTAAGTTTGGCCATCCAGCAGTATCAATGAGGCTGAAATTCCAAGGAGCCTGCCCCGATAACTTTCCACTATCTGCTTCATCACTAAACCTCTCCAAATTTGCAAAGTGAGTAAATGCAGGATCAAGCATCGATGTGTCTGCACCTAGCCCTGATATTTCTGATGGAGTGTAAGGAAACTGGCCATTGGACACTGATACAGGACTTGAAACCATCTCTGTCTTGATACCACTGTCAAGGATGATCAAGAACACATCACAAACGATGGTCACTGTGTGCCTACGTGACAGAAGCTTTACTGAATGCTTAGAACAACTAAAGAAAAAGTGGATGTGAGATAGGATCCTCACTCTTGACATAAGTTTAGGGGCATATGGTGGAAATTTCCATGAGCAGGGATTCCATTGACCAAATGACAACTTGATATAGTGCCCATGGAATTGATTTGGTGATGACCCTTAGACGGAAATGGAGGCTGCTGCATGACGGGGTATCCCATAGGTAAATTGTTAACTGCACTAAATATAAACAAACGAGGAATAAGGGATCACATTACATTTAGATCTATGGCATATAATTCAGCTAGAAGTAGCCTTCCAATAAACCAACACCAAAAGTGAGAAGGAATTTGAATACGAGAAAACACGCATTTAGCCAATTGCGTCCAGTCTAGTTTACATGACCAAGCTTAAGAAAGAAATGCCTCAACAAATCAACCAAACAAGGTGTATCTCGATTAGGAGTGAATTCCCCTTGATTATTTTTCTGACTTTTAAGTATAATTTGCCTTTTTACCAAAGTTCGAACTCAATAACTGATCATTGCTACTGAAAGAAGAGAAAACGCAATGCAGCTCCTACTCCTTTCTTCTACAAAAATTTAAAAACGCTGACGTGCACCTAAACATTCAAGTTCTCTGAGAAGAAAATACCAGGCATGTAATGCATCCCATTATGCAAAGGAGGCAATGGAACCTCAGGAGGCTCTTGCTGTTTCATCAGATGGTATTGTTGCTCAAGCAAACGGTTGTACATAACAATTTGATTTTTCAGCTTTAGCCTCATGTAGTAAGCCTTGAAAAATTCTGCATTTTCTACTTCCAATTTCTCAAGTACTAAATAAACAAACAATAAAAAATATGACAATTAGAGCAATTCGAAACATATAGCAGCAATATAACAACAAAGTCAAAATCTTCTTTTGAGCCATCAACTAGTAATACTTATGCATTGCGAACAATGAAGAAAAGTGAAGATGTCATATAAAAGGGAATGGAAAGCTTTATATCCATGTGTCTGGAGGAAGAAAAAAACAAAGGAAATTATGTATGTAGCGGCATACCCAAGCTTGTAAAGCCCGGCTCAATCCTAGCACGATCTAACAGGGTATTGACGACTTCATTTTTGTTCATATACAACCGCAGACACCTTTCAACCAAATTCTGGACCTACAATGTTCATTATATTACCAAAGCAAAATAATGTAATTAAGTTTCATCTTTGGAACAAAATCACACTCACAGCTCAAACAAGTAAAAAAATGTCTTACGACTTCAATATCTTCACGCGTGACTTTTGTACTCTTGCTGCTGGAAATCGATACTGAACCAGAGTCCACCGTAGGAACCTCACTGACGCCATTTTGTTGGTCATTACGGGGGAATTGCTTCTCCGTCGATTTCTCTTTATCCTGTGAAAGTCCTCTTGCTTAGGGATACGAAGCTCAAAGAAGTAAACAAGACTTGCGAAATAAATGTATTGTTTTGAACTCATCGAAATGTGAGGCTATCTAGGAGGGGGAAACAATTCAGTTGTATGGTTTATAGCAACAAAAAGCTAAGAGCTTTTCATACAACAGCACTGGCTTAGAGATATTCGAGTGCTATCGTTGTCTGTCAGATTAATAAAATCAACGATGACTCGCAGATTGAGAATACATATAAAAGATGCTAAAACCTGCAATATCTTCATTTCACTTCAATGCACCTAAACTCCGAGCTTTTGTTTGGCTCGAGATCTTCTGTTCAGCTTTATATGATGGATAAATCAGAGAGACTAATATATCCAATTATGACCTGAAATATCATAAAAATTGTGTAAAAAAGGATGAACATTGGAATGTCGAATATGCAAGACGGGCAAATTTTCATCTAATAAGATTAGTATAACATGCCAAACAAGGAAATGGATTGATTTAACCACTTCCAATCATCCATTTATGTGAAACGAACAGCTTTGTTTTTCTGTTTCTGCAATTAATTGATAAGGTACAATTCCTTCTCGTTTTCCCATCAACTCTCGGCATCTAAACAGAGCACAAATCTCAGAAACCAACAACCAATGATCACTTCCCCCTGAACCCTTGTTTGGTTGCCAAGAAAATCCAAGAAATTCCATTCCTTTCTTCTTACCCTTTTCTCAGCAACCAAACAAGCAATTGATAAGAAAACTGAAAGGAAGCATCTTGAAGCAAAAACAAGCAGAAAAATAACCCAGAAAAAAAAAAAAACAAAAATCGTGTGGGGGGAGGAAAAAACAAAAAGGTTTGGAGTTACCATAAAAGGGAAGGCTTTGGAGGAGGAGGACTGCTACTGCTAGGGTTTCCAGATGCAGGCAAGTAGGCTCTGCAGGGTTTACTGAAAGGTTGGTGTTAATAGAGCTCAAGCGGTAGAAATTTTAAACCAAGTGGGAAGGGAAACAGAGTGAAAACGTCGGTCGCAGGCAGGTGGTGTTTTGATTTTTTTAGTTCATCAATATTTTTACATTATATAAAATGAGGAGTTCGGTTAAACCATATAATAGGAAACCTAATTTAGTATCGAATTTGCCATCTACAAGATTCGAACATAAAAACTTTCACTTTCAAATGAAGATAAATACCACCAGATCCGTAGTACGGAGTAGCAAAATGACAGGTGGTGTTTTGTAGTTTTTGTGCTTTTGTGGGGGTGAAATTTTGAGTAAAGCTGCTTGTACCCTGTGCTGTTGATGTTGTACGTGGCTTGGCCCCTTCTGTTTTCATTTTGTGTTTTTGTGACAATGTTTGGTGTCTCATTCGACCTAGTTGTGGTTTTCACCTTCATTTTCTAGTTACAATTATTTTGACAAACAATAATAATATTCTACATTAAATTTATTTAAATTACGGAAGAGGGATATGACCTTAGAACTTTAGGTGCAAAAACGAATACTCTTAACTAATTGAATTACAGAGTTTTTACCAAATGAAATTTGGTTTACAGTTGGAAGAGTGCATACTAACCTACGCTTGAAATTATAATACGACTAAATGTTAATGTTTTATTGATATTTAATTATCTTATTTCTTAAAAATGTAATATATATATATATATATAATGTAATTTAATCTTTTAAAATTTGAGAATGTTTGCAATGTAACACTTATCCACATTATTGGCAAGAGTTGGTCTTTTTCTTGCCAACCCAATTGCATATAAAATTTGTGTGTACCATATGTTAAAAAACAAATTAAAGAACTAAAGAAATATGGTAGTTGCATATTTTCTTAATTAAACTAAATTTCCACCCACTAAACGGAACACAGTTGCAGTAGGTTTTTTAAAAGTTAATATGCGTGTTGAGAATCAAACTCAAGACCTATTTCAATTATAATTTTAGTTCTTCCATTTGGCGTAACGGTTCTCTTATATCTAGAATGTACGGCGTTCATCTAGCGTAAACCTTACGCCGACTTAACCTTAGTTAGTCTTCCATTTGGTGTAACGATTCTTTTACATCTAGAATATGGGGCGTCTATCTAGCGTAAATCTTACGCCGAGGTTAAAACTTAACCCTAGTTAGTCTTCTTGGGTTAAATCAAACCACTATATAATCTAAACAATACTAGAGCCTAGAGGCACCAAAACGCATTCCTACTTTTTCCCTAAAAATTTTCAATTTTTAAATCTGCAATTAAGAAATTTCTCTAGGGGCTAATGGGTCAGTGTCAGTGTACCTGGCGTTGATGGTCGTCTCAGATTCAAACTCGTTCAAGTCAGACTCGTCCTCTTCCTTCTTTGTGGGTAATCACTTTTTCTCGTCAATTTTCGCTTTTGCTTAAGCGCTTTTCTGGTTTTGTTCAATTCTGTCAATTGGCACAGAGCTAGGGTTTGTAAGACTTTCTGAAATTTTGAAAGTGCTAAATTTCAGACCTTTCCCACCCAAAATATTGGTTTATATCAGAAGTTCGGGCGGTGTTACTGAAACCCTAAAAGCTCTGTTTCTGTGAACACACACAGAAATCTTGTAGTTCTTCAGTAAAAAGCTTTGAGTGTTCTGATTTGGTAAATTCTGATCATTATTATGTTGGGGACTTTTTCCTCCAAGTGGGTTTTGGGGATTTTTTGAAGGGTTTTTTTTTTTTTTTTTTTCTCTCTCTCTCTCGAAAAGTTGGCTTTTTTATTTGTTGCATTTTGTTGATAATGTGACATGTTGTATGCATTTAGTGAAGCTTCATTAAGGTAATTTCTTGTAATAATGTGCAATGGAGCTCCATATATGGCTTCATCAATTGGTTAGATCTGTTGGAAATTGTAGTGGAATTGTTGTGTTGGGGAGTTCTGTTGGTGTAGTTCCAAGTGTTTGATGAAAACGCATGCCTAGCCTCTGTAATGAAGCGGAATCCTTTCGTCCTTGAACGGGAAAGTCCGTGGTTCAAGTTGAAAGGGAGAGATTAAGAATGCATTGCTAATTTGCCACAGCATCTATGAGATTTGAAGTTAATTTAGTACATTATCTGTTTTTGTCAATAAAAGTGATACTTGTTTCTATTCAATGTGATGGGATTTCTTATTTTCTAGATTTATAGCAAAGACTTGTTTTTGCCCGGTGTCAGTGGGGGAGGGTTTTAAACTCAGTATTCAAACAATGTTTGTTTCGATATGAAATTTTTGTTTCTGCATCCGACTTTAAGTTTTTAGCATAATTGTATTGGGTATTATTTTTCTACTTAACAAGTTACACAATCTGATGCGATTTGTTTAATATCTCATTGGATCAGGTATTAAACTTCTGTAGTCATGATCATCTTCTGGGAAAGAAAAATGGCCAAGGGTTGTAGAATCTAATACTTTTTCTCATATTATGCTTACTGCTCTAGTTAAGTAAAGAGGAAGTGTACTGAGACTCTCAAGGAAACTATGGAGTGCAATAAAGATGATGCGGTCAAGGCTAAGGAACTTGCTGAGAAGAAGTTTGCAGAAAAAAATTATGCTAGTGCTAAGAAGTTTGTTTTGAAGGCTCTGAATTTGTATCCCGAGCTTGAGGGTCTCTCCCAAATGTTGACTACACTTGATGTTTACATCTCTTCGGAGAATAAAATTAATGGGGAAGCGGATTGGTATGGAGTACTTAGTGTTACTCCATATACTGATGATGAGACGATTAAGAAACAGTATAGAAAGTTGGCTTTCATGCTTCATCCTGATAAAAACAAGTCTTTTGGTGCAGAAGGCGCATTTAAATTGGTTTCAGAGGCCTGGAGTTTGTTATCAGACACGGCCAAGAGGGTAGCATATAACCACAGGAGGAATTTACAAGGGTTTCAACAGGAAGCAGCGTCCAGTACTGGGGGTCCGTCAGTGCAACCTAGTGCAAGCACCTTTCAAAATTCTATGAATAGTGTCAGGAAGACTGTAAAAACGTCTCAACAGGAAGCTGCACACTGTAGTGGGGGTCCATCAACGCAACCTAGTGCAAGTACTTTTCAGAATGTTATGAATGCGAAGACCCAGCAACCTAGTGCAACTACCTTTCATAATGTTATGAATGCGAGGACTAAGCAACCTCGTGCATCTACCTTTCAGAATGTTATGAATGCAAGGACCCAGCATGGTCCCACCCTGATACCTTCGTGTGCAAAAGCTGCTACTTTTTGGACTGTTTGCAACCATTGCAAAACTCATTATCAGTATGTCAGGATGTATCTTCGTCATCTTCTTGTCTGCCCTAATTGTAGGAATACTTTCTTGGCTGTAGAACGGGCTCCACCTGCGGAGCTTTTCAAGGCGTCCAAAAGCTCTTCTTCCCAGCAGCATCAGAATTCAAGACAACATGCTGCTGGAGGTAACTCAAATAGTTCTGGAAGACACTGCGCTGCAACTCAAAATGTGGGAGCTGGGGGGTCTTTGGGTCCTAATTCAAACAACAACACAAACTTAAACCAGGGCTCTACCTCCAAAATGACTAGTATCAGTAGCACAGTTGCATCGGGTCATGTTGCTGTGGACGGGGGTCAGCAGACAAGTGAGAATGTAAAGAGAGACGCAGAGCGGAGACAGTCAATTGCTGAATGGGAAAGGAGTCAAAATTTGAATGGAAATCCTTCATTGAAAAAGAGAAGGATGGATGATCCTCATTTGAACGGCTATGATAAAAACAAGGCGAATCAAATGTCCATGGGAAATGGTGGAGCCGACTTGGGAGCTATATCTGAGTTGAGTAAAGGTAATGCTGGAACGAAAAGAATTTATGGTTTCTCTAGTACATACGATAGGCCTAAGGTCCTCAGAGAGGTTCCATATCCGGTAATAAAAAAAGCTCTGGTTGAGATGGCACTAACTTCAATTCGCAATTTTCTTGAGCGGAGCTCAGCAACTGAAGCAAAGCAGGCAAAGAAAGAGCAAGAAACTGTGAAAGTAAATAAGAAACAGAAGAGTGTGGGAAATGTTGACACAAGTACAAACAGTGGTCCAAATGTAGAGGATAAGTCACCAATGCCGATCAATGTTCCAGATCCCGATTTTCATAATTTTGACATGGATCGAACTGAAAGATCCTTTAGAGAGGACCAAGTTTGGGCTGCATATGATGATGATGGTATGCCTCGTTATTATGCTCGAATTCAGAAAGTGATCTCCTTGAGGCCGTTTAAGATGCGGATCAGTTGGCTTAACTCGAGAAGCAACAATGAATTGGGTCCGCTGAACTGGGTAGGTTCTGGTTTTGCTAAAACCTGTGGGGATTTCTGGCCTGGCAAATATGAAAGTACTGGTACTTTAAATTCTTTCTCGAGCAAGGTTAATTGGACAAAAGGCAAGCGAGGGGTGATTCGTGTATTTCCTACAAAGGGGGAAATCTGGGCTCTATATAGGAACTGGTCCCCTGATTGGAATCAGCATACACCAGATGCAGTAATCAACAAATATGACATGGTGGAACTACTCGATGACTATACTGAGGAACACGGTGTGTCTGTCGCTCCTCTATCTAAGATTGCTGGTTTTAAAACAGTGTTCCGTAAGCACACAGACCCCAAGGAAGTGAAGAGGATTCCTAAAGAGGAGATGTTCCGTTTCTCGCATCAAGTCCCTAGTCACTTGCTTACTGGCGAAGAAGCTTATAATGCCCCAATAGGTTGTTGGGAATTGGATCCAGCAGCTCTCCCTTCGGAACTTTATCAAGTTATAACAGAAGCTCATGATGCACCAATGAAACAGAATGATGTTAAAACAGATGAAGAAATTCCAAAACCTCTACCAATGATGACCGACGACAGTGGTACATGCCAAGTTGGCCAAGGAAACTGAAGCTGTAAGCGCAGCACCCATAGATTATGGACATTGCTAGAAGATAATACCAGTCGTCTGGATAGGTTTGGCCATTTTTGTTTATGCTAACCCTTTTTGTTTTTGCTATGACCCGTCGCAAATGTACATGCTGCTGCATTATTTGCAGCAATTGGTTAGCAGGTGGTGGTGATACCATCTTTTTTTTTTTGCATTTTGTGGGAAATGAAAGGTCAGATGGTCATTGGATTTTAGGAAAGTTGAAAACTTTTGTATACTCATGCCTGATCTCTCTGAAGATCAGTTTTATAATTGTAGTTTGGAAAATGAAGGTTATTTTGCATCTTTCAGTGGACTAGTTACTGCATTAATATCTGCTTTTTCATCTGTGAACAATGATTTGGCACACAGATACATCTTCTGTGTAGCGCTGGGCATTCTTGCCCAAAAACCGAGAAATCGGCTGGACCGACATGGCTTTCCGGTTGCCTCTGCCGGTTTTGTTGGTTTGGCGATCGGTTCCTCTCACACGGTTGGGTTATCAAACTGTGCCCATCCCTTATCTGTAGTGGCTGAGCAGGTTTGGAATGGGCATCCTGGAAATCTTTTAGACTCAGATACGAGCCCACGCGCACAGTGCACAGTGCACATTTTTTCTGTTAAAAGCCCAATGCGTTTTTCTCATTGCACGTTTATGCGTACTTTTGGGCTTTAGAGTAAATAAAAGGAATTTTGACAAAAAAATTTCGGTACTGTTTATTTTAACGAAAAATCATATTTTTACATTAAAAAGTCAATCATGGTGCTATTCATTTTACCCTCTATTTTGTCCTTATCGTTAAAACTTAAAGTTTTAAAAGTATTTTCATTAGTTTTCCTTTAAATAAACCAAAAGAAAAATCAATTGATGAACAGTAAACAAAGGCGTGTAGAAGCAGAAAGAGATTGCAGAGATTGCGGAAATCATATTCCTTCCGGAATCCTGATAAAGTGGGATGTATTTGTTTTGGCATCAGGAGATAAAGTAAACTGCTAAGTAGCAAAGGACACGTACAATAATAGAAGTTCAATGCTCTACTTGTCAAAGAAAAAGAAAGGAAAAAATAATCATCACATATTTTGACACTATGTACGTTTTGACTGAACGCAAACATCTCCTTCTGCTGTCGAATTTGTGCGACTGTGTCTACACATGTGGTCTAAAATATTATTGGATTCATCGGGAATTATCAACATTTTTCACCAACGATTACGTATTTGTAAAGATTCAACAATGTACCTTTACTGTCACAACAAAGTTACAGCTTATATCGGCATAAGAAGTTAATCACAATTAGCTGTATTCTCGTCAACCATAGCATCATTCTCGTCATCTATATCAGTCGAATCCAAGACTTCATTCAATTAAAGGAGAAAAATACCACTAATCAAACGCTGGTTAGTCGGATTTAAAAAAGAGTTTAATTAGAGATTTTGTCCGTGTGTAAGAATTCGGGAAGGAGACTTTGAATACTGGCGTGTCTTCGTGTAAGAGTTACATTACATACAGTCATCCATGCAACAATGCAAAGAAGTTTTACATTGCCTTGCATGAGACGGAGAATCTTCTATTTATATTATATAATTGATATATATATATATATATTATAAATAAGGAGGACGACCAATATATGAATAATATATGAACATCTGTGCCAATTTTCATCGTCAAGTCATGTGGGTCGAAGACCATGCAAATGCTCGCAGCTCCAGAAAATTCCAAATTCTAAGGAAGGTTCGCACGAAAACTCCACCATGCATGTCGAACCGTAATCATATACAATTTAAATTTATATGGTTCACATTCAAGGAACTTGCTTATTCTTGTCAAGAAACAATAGAACAACTAAAAGCTAGAGGCATTGAGCAAATTACTCATGCCTGTTCTCTCTGACGATCAGTTTTATAACTGTAAGGTTGTTTGAAATCATGGGTTTTAACTTTATTTACATCTTTCAGTTGACTAGTTACTGCAGTAATATTTGCCTTTTCATCTGTGAACCTTGATTTGGCACGCAGATACATCTTCTCTGTAGCGCTGGGCATTCTTACCCAAAAACCACGAAATCGGCTGAACCGACATGGCTTTCCGGTTGCCTCTGCCGGTTTTGTTCGTTTGGCAACCAGTTCTTCTCACACGGTTGGGTTATCGAATCGTGACCATCCCTTATCTGTTGTGACTTGGCAGGTTTGGAATGTGGGTCCTGGAAATCTTTGACTCAAATGCAAGCCCACGCGCACACTGCACATTTTTTTCTGTTAAAAACCTAATGAGCTTTATCTCATTGCACATTTATGCGTATTTTTCGTCTTAGATCAAATAAATCAAAACAAAAATCAATTGACAAAAATAAACAAAGACGTGTAGAAGCTGAAAGATTGCGGAAATCATCTTCCTGAATCCTGACAAAGTGGGATATATTTGTTCTGGTATCAGGAGTCATCAAGTAAAGTGCTAAGCAGCAAAGGACACGTACCAAAATAGAAGTTCAATGCTCTACTTGTCAATGAAAAAGAAAGGAAAAAAAATAATCACATATAATTGACACCATGTACATTTTGACTGAACACAAAAATTTGCATCTGCTATCGAATGTGTGTGACTGTGTGTCTACGCACATGGTCTAAAATATTATTGGATTCATCGGAAATTATCAATATTTTCACCCACGATTACGTATTTGTAAAGATTTCACAATGTATTATGACACGACAACGTTAGAAATTATATCCACGTAAGGCGGTAATCACAATTAGGTATAGAACTCATCTCTTGTATCATTCTCGTCATTCATGTCAGTCGATTTTGAGACTTCAAACAACAACAAAGTCTTATCTCACTAAGTGGGGTCGGCTGGATGAATTCTAAAACTGTGCTCGATTTTGCGCCGAGTATTTCATTTGTATGGATTACATAGATAATATGCATACACAAACATGCATACGATGACAAAACAAAAAGGAAATAGGATTACACAGATCATGCCTCTGTGCAGCAAACAAGTACAACATGCATTCATGTAATATAAGTTTTATGTGAAACTTTCTTAAAGAAGCCATTGCAGAACTAGGTCGTCTACTTCAAAATATCTATCTGTGAATAGGGTTTAGCGTATTTTGAGAGATTGGGGTATGGAAGTAAGGACATAACCATAGTATTTATACCATTAGGGTTTTCATCACAGCCGGCCTATTATTGGTTGTGAAAACCAAACCCTATCACTTGAGTGTTTAAGTCCCACCATGATTCTATATCTTCATAGTGAAATCTATCTGATTTCTTTAAGATCAATTGCACAGGATAAGACTCCATAATCCTTATTTCATTAGGACTATTAGATCACTTAACTTGTTAACAACCCAATAGACAAGTGGCCCACAACATAAGTAATCCAATACATCATTCATTGTCATTCACAACATTACATCGTTAGTTCTTAGTACTCCATGTTTTTTCTTATAGTCACTTTCCAAATCTTCCTAAGTTCATCTACCCTTTTTGTCCTAAGCCTCAATCTCATAATCACATCTTCTAACTTGAGCATCTATAGGTCTTTATTTGACATGTCCAAACCACCTTAACCGATTTTCTCTTATCTTATCTTATCTTAAATCGCAAGTCACTCCTATTTTACCTCAGATATCATCGTCATTAATCATATCCTTTTTTGTGCACCCACACATCCAAGCCCCAACTAAAAAGAGACAAATACCATTAATTAAAGGCTAATTAGTCGGATATTTAGAAAATAGTTAATTGGTGATTTTGTCTTTGTCTTTGTCTTTGTGTGTAAGGATTCAGGAAGGAGACTTTGACTCTCAATACTGCGTGTATTCGCGTAAGAGTTGTATTACATACAGTCATCCATGCAACGATGCAAATAAGCTTTACATTGCCTTGCATGAGACGGAGAATCTTATATGTGTGTACATACACACACACACACACACACACATATATACATACAAGGAGGACGACCAATATATGAATAATTTATGAACATCTGGGTTGATTTTCATCGTCAAGTCATGTGGGTCGAAGGCCATGCAAATGCCGGCAATCCTGAAAATTCTAAAGTCCAAGGAAGGTTCACACGAAAATTCCACCATGCATGTCGAACCGGAATCATCATATACAATTTATAATTTGTATGGTCCACATACAAGGGACTTGCTACTAGCTTATTCTTTTTCAGAAACAATTGAACGAATAAAAACTAGAGGAATTGAGCAAATTACTTACATATTCATACGTGGATTCCTGTAGTTTAGTATAAAATTCTACCTTTTTTGTCAGAAACAAAAATTAAATTATACAACAGTATGCCATTTAGTAATACGTAATACAATCTAGTGGTATTCATGTTCACTTATAGGTGAAAGCCTGAAAGGTCTTAGATTCATAAATTGTAAATGATGAGTTCGATACCAATTTATTTTTTTCGCATTAATATGTTAGGTCATTCTAGGAGACATACGTTAGGTCTAGTACCCCATGGGCAACCACCATAGGGTGGCTCAGTGGTTTGGGACGAATTCCATGTCCGTATTCCATATGACATGTCCTAAGTTCGATTCCTTGCGCTGGTGAATCACATGAGGGTGGCCATACAGGGCTGTTTGTGTAACTTTATCATGTATATTGAACTGGATACTGCTAATTTTATTGTAATTTTCTGTTTAAATTTTTTTGTGGACGTAGAATAAGCCCCCACGGTGAATGCCAAACTTAATCTTGTATATTGCCATCTCTATCTCCTTGTCATGGTCGTACATAATTTGTTTCTCAATAACTTAATTTGGAATTCACGGACGAAATAGGCATTCAAAACATAAGAAATTTGGAGCTCAAACATTAACATTAAATAGTCCTACAACTCAAGGTTTTTATTTTTAATTTTTGAACAAACAATACTAGAGGGTGAGCTTAACCTCACAATGAGCTGTATCACTTTGTTTAAAATATATAAATAAAAAGAAAAAAAGTGGATTCGTAGAATCACGATGATAGCATTACTGCACAGAGTAGGATTCTCTCCCTTCCAAATTCTTTCAGTCTCTCCTTAGAGGGAGAGAATCCTACTTCTTAATGCACCAATCAATCCAGGCAATCACGGCCTTAAAATTCTCGATTAGAAAATCATGATGAGTAATGAGACTTTATTATTACATGGTATAATTAAATACAAGGAATACTCACATATAAGAGAAGATTACGATTTAATTACATACCAAAAAAGAAGATTACGGTATCATACTTTGTTTGTGTATGTATATAACTGTACATGCGACTAGGTTAATAGCTCTCATTATTTCTCT